GCCGGCCCCCCCTCGCGGCTGCCGCTAAGCCCTGCAGAAGCAGCAGCAGCAGCTGCTGCTGCTGTGCTGCTGCCAGCAACTAATCCAGGGGGCAGGCCGCCGGGAATGAGTGCAAGCTCAAGGCGTCGACGGCTGGCTAAGGCGCGTGCTGCAGCAGAAGCAGCAGCAGCAGCAGCAGCAGCAGAAGCAGAAGCAGCAGCAGCAGGACTTGACCCAGAGGCAGCAACTGTCGACACAAGTGCCTGGCAAGACCAGCAGCAGCCGCAGCAGCAGCAGGTGCTGCTGCTCGACCAAACTGGGGCCCATAACTGTTCTTGGGGAGACAGCAGAGATAGTGCTGCAGCCCTGCTGCTGCTGCCGCAGCAGCCGTCTGCTGCAGCAGCAGCAGCGTCAGCAAGAGCTGTTGCGCTTGCGGAAGCCTGCCAGCAGCAGTCTGCTGCCTGGGCAGCAGCAGAAGCAGCAGCAGCAGCAAAAGTGCAGCAGCGAATTGACCGCGAAAGACTTGTTATGGCTGCGGCCTGCGGCACACCCGCTGCTGCTGCTGCTGCTGCATTTGTGAAGCAGGAGGGGACCGGAGAGGAGAGCGAAGCAGATGCCACCACAGCAGCAGGCAGCAGCAGCAGCAGCAGCAGCAGCAGCAGCGTGTTGTCTGCGCAGGACCAGCACGTGCTGGTTGTGGGCGGCGGCGAGGCGGAGTCTCTATGGGTGTGTCCTGATGGGCAAGTCAAGCGGACCGCAGCAGCAGCAGCAGCAGCAGCAACAGCAGAAGGCAGCTCTCGCGAGAAGAAGCTGCAGCAGGCGCTGCAGCCCTTTCTGGCCTACTGGAAAGTCAGGGAAGAAAGAGCAGAAATTGATCCTTATGGCAGCATAACGAGGGCGCTGGAACTGCTGCAGCAGCAGCGCGGCGACAGTCCTGCAGCAGCAGCAGCAGCAGCTGCAGCAGCAGCAGCAGCAGCAGCAGAGCATACAGAGTGGCTCTACACGAAAGGCAACGAGGTCGCCCTTGATGCCCTTTCTTCTAGTCTTTC